AAAAAAAAAAAAAAAAGTGTTGTACTGAAGTTGTTAAAATACTCTCTGGAAAAAAATCAGAACGCAAACAAAATCCTGATATGCTCTTGATATGCTCTTCTAATCTTATTTAAAAAATAAAAATTTGGGGCTGGAGAGATGGCTCAAAGATTAAGAGCACTGATTGCTCTTCCAAAGATCCTGAGTTCAATTCCCAGCCACCACATGGTGGCTCACAACCATCTGTAATGAGATCTGGTGCCCTCTTCTGGCCTGCAGACATATATGCAGGCAGAACACTGTATACATAATAAATAAATAAATCTTTGAACAATAAATAAATAAATAAATAAATTCTAAATAAATAAATAAAAATTCACCATGCATTGGTGGCTCACGCCTTTAATCCCAGCACTTGGGAGGCAGAGGCAGGTGGGTCTCTGTGAGTTCCAGGCCAGCCTGGTCTACAGAGTGAGATCCAGGACAGGCACCAAAACTACACAGAGAAACCCTGTCTTGAAAAACCAAAAAAAAAATAAATAAAAATAAAAATTCTAGTAAGACTTAGTTATTTCTATTTTATGTGTATGAGTGTTTTGCCTGAGTGTACCACATTCATGCCTGGTGCCCATAAAGTCAGAAAAGGGCATTGGATCCCTAGAATTGAAGTTATGGACAGTTGGGAGCCACCATCCAGGTACTGGGAATTGAACCCGGGTTCTCTGCAAAAGCAACCAGTGCTCTTAACCTCTGAGCCGTTTCTCCAGGCTCTCCATCTTTCTTTCTTGTAAGCATTAACAGTCTTTCATTTCTTCTCAGGCTCAAAGTAGTTTAATCTATTTTATTTATTAGTCTTAAAAAAAAAACTTTTGATGGTCTCATGTATCCCTGGATGACTTCAAACTTGTTATGTAGCCAAAGATGACCTTGAAATCCTGTCTCTGCATTATAGTTATGTGTGGGAAGCCAGGGCAAACCAAAGCTCTCCCCGAAAGCCATGATACATGAAGAAGGGACAGTTTCTTGTCTAAAACCAGCAACATGCTTAGCAAAGCCAGTGATGGCTTAGGGCCAGGGCCTTGAGGGGAGCTGTGATTTTTGGATACTGGCACCCCAGTTCTTCCTCCCTAAGGGGCTGTTCCCAGTCCCACACTTGAGAGATCCTGCATTTCTTTTGTGCAACATTGCTTATTAGCTTCCTACTGCCTTTGTCCCATTGTATGATAGCTTTCTGCTGACTCTGTCCCATTTCCCCCTGAAGTCTGTGAATAAGATGCTGAACTTCTTAATAAGCTTGCTTGGCATAGGCCATCAGCTTATGCAAGATCTCCTGGTCCCACTTTTCCTGTCTTTCTCATTCCCAGTCCTCTCTCTCAGGAGCCTACGCTGAAGAAAGGCCTGCTGGTTCAGGCCAGGCATGTACAACCACACAGCCTCTGCAGTTCTGGGGAGCTTTGTGCCTGCTGCTAGACAAAACACTGCTAGTTAGGGTTATTATGGTTGTGATGAAACACTATGAGGAAAGTGGGGAGGAAAGGGTTTATTTGCTTACATAACCTGAGGACAGTCCATTAAGGGAAGCCCAATGCAGGAACTCAAACCAGGCGGGAATCTGGATGCAGGACCTGATGTAGAGGCCATGGAGGAGTGCTGCCTACTGGCTTGCTCAGCCTTCTTTGTTATAGAACTCAGGACCACCAGCCCATGGTGGTACTACCTACAATGGGTTGGGCCCTCCCTCATCAATCACTAATTAAGAAAATGCTCTATAGGCTTGTTTATAGCCCAATTTTTGTTTTGTTTTGTTTTGTTTTGTTTTGTTTTCTGAGACAAGGTTTCTCTATATAACCTTGTTGTCCTGGAACTCACTCTGGAGGCCAGCAGGCTGGCTTGAACTCAGAGATCTGCCTGTCTCTGCCTCCAGAGTGCTGGGATTAAAGGCAGTACCACCACTACCTGGCAACCCAATTGTATGGAGGCATTTTTTTTTTTTTAAATTGAGGTTTCCTTCTCTCAGATGACTATAGCTTGTATCAAGTTAACATGAAGCTAGCCGGGACACTCTCCAAATGTGCTGCAGCCCCAACACACTACTCTCCTTTCTTTAAAGAAATTTTAAAAAAAAGACAACAAAGATTTATTTCTTAGCTATGGAGTCTCTAAGTTCCAGATTAGAATGAGAGCATGATCAGGTTCTATGGGCCTTCTTCTCATGTCACAGATGGGTATGTTTTTACATGTCTCATATGGTGAAGAGCATTCCCCCCTTCTTTGCTTTTTAAAGATTTATTTACTTATTATGTACACAGAAAAGGGCACCAGACCTCATTACAGATGGTTATGAGCCACCATATGGGTGCTGGGAATTCAACTCAGGACCTCTGGAAGAACAGCCAGTGCTCTTAACCTCTGAGCCATCTCTCCAACACCTTTTTTTGTTTTTTCAAAACAGGGTCTCTCTGCATAGTTTTGGTGCCTGTCCTGGATCTCACTCTGTATACCATGCTGGCCTCAAAGTCACAAAAATCCACCTGGCTCTGACTCTCAAGTGCTGGGATTAAGCCCCACCACCGCCCAGCTGGTGGCTCATCTCTTAAAGTGCTTGTGGTACAAGCAAAGTGACAAGGACAAATTCCCAGAACCCATATAAATGCTGGGTGGGTATGGTCGCTCCGGTCTTCCCAGCCTCAGAATTTGGAGACCATCCCCAGGGCAAGATGGGTAGTGAGATGAGCTGTATCAGCAAGCTCTGGGTTTGACTGGAAGAATGAGCAAGATCCCCAACATCAACCTCAGGCCTCCACACAACACCTGGATATATGTGCACCCACACATTCAAACACACACAGACCACACTCACATGTGCATGCGAGCACACTGTTGTCAAACACTTGGCATTCTGCCTTCAGTTCTAAATTTATTATGACTGGAAAAACCACCAAAAGATGATACCGATTTTATTGGTTTATATTTAGATTGTTTTATCAGACAAGGTCTCATAGAACACAGGCTGGAGCTTGCTATGTAGCTAAGAAAGTCCTTGAACTCCTGATCTTCCTGCTGGCAGTACAGGTTTATACCATGACCAGCTATGAAAAACACAAACCTTTCAACGATTAAGACAGTCTTCTGGCCAGGCAGTGTTGGCACACACCTTTATCCCCAACAGAGGCACTTGGATCTCTGTGAGTTTGAGGCCAGCCTGGTGTACAGAGACAGTTCCGGGACAACCAGGGCTACATAGAAAAACCTTGTCTTGAAACAACAGCCCCCACCCCCTCAAAAAAAAAAAGAATGAACAAAAAACCCAAACCAATCCCAAAACAAAACAACAAGGACAACAAAAAGCCTTCTGAGTGAGCTGGAACCCACTGCAGGACAGGAGCCAGGGAGGCCTTGCGTGCTGAGCTGCGGTGGCTCCTGGTCCCGCTCAAGGATGTGACTGGCTTGTCTGGAGGTCTGCTATCAGGCCTAAGCTTGAGTGAGGGGAGCAGCTTGTTCAGCAATCCGTGTAGGAACACAGTGGGGAAGGGAACTTGCTACCTGGTGTTTGAGGCCCTCCCCCCTTCCAGTTTCACTTTTGAACCTAGCCCATAATAGCGGGCTTTAATTTGAGCCATCATACCACTCCCATGGATGTCTCCAGTCAGACAAAGCCAGCATGCATCCCAGCTCTGTCAATCATTGAGTCAGTGAGGCAACTGGCAGCACTCGGGAGGCAGAGCCAGGTGGATCTCTGTGAGTTCGAGGCCAGCCTGGTCTACAGAGTAAGATCCAAGAAAGGCGCAAAGCTACACAGAGAAACCCTGTCTCGAAAAACAAAAACAAAACAAAAAAAAGCACTGGATATGAAGTCACACACACACACACACACACACACACACACACACACACAGAAAAGAACCCAAGAGTAGTGAGCAAGAATGGTCAGTGTTGAAAACCCAAGTTTCTAGAAGACACTTTGATATGCCCATCTCTAGAATTTATTTCCTTATTTTTGAGACAGGATCTCACTACATAGCCCCTGTTTGTCCTGGAACACACTATGGAAACCAGTCTGGCCTCAAACTAATGGAGATCTGCCAACAACACTAAAACCTGCTCCATATTTCTGAATTTTAATTTTATTTTTTTATTTTTTCCAGAGCTGAGGACCGAACCCAGGGCCTTGTGCTTACTAGGCAAGTGCTCTACCACTGAGCTAAATCCCCAACCCCATTAATTTTTTTTTAATTTCTGAATTTTAAAATGAAAAGTATTTAAATAAAGTCTTAGCCTGGCCTGATGGTGCACACCTTTAACCCCAGCACTCAGGAGGCTGAGGCTGGACCATCACAGAGAGTTTGAGGTCAGCCTGGACATTACAGCAAGACTATCTCAAACACACATACAGAGAATTTAAAAATACCATCCTGGGCTTGGTGGTACAAGTCTATAGTTCCAGCACTGAGGAAGCTGAGACAGGAGGATCACCAGTTAGAGGCCAGCTTATGCTCCATGAGGAGGCTCCATCTCAAACCAAATAAAATCTGCCTCACCATCTGACCTTAAGATGGTGATCACCCCTGGAATATATATGGGGCCCATGCCACTACAAAGTCCTGTAAGTGGAAATCAGAGAGTCAGTGATCCAAGGAGATGAACAATTGCCCACTGCTGAAGATGGAGAAAGAGGTCACAAGCCAAGGGCCTCACGTAACCTCTGTGCCTCCCAGGTGGAGCCTGCCCCCTGCTAACATCTTTGATCTAGTGAGATATATTTCACTGTTTTGATGTTGGCACAATTAGCAAACAGATCTGTTTTGAGTCACCTAGTTTACAGGCACAGTTAATAGAACACCATGCACTGACAAGTTGTAAGTGACCTGTCCTGAGGGTCACAGTTCCCTGGGTAGCTCTTTGCCCTCCAGTTTAATGATGAACCTGGTTGTGTGGGGTGTAGGCCTGACCTGGAGCCATGCCTGGTCTGAGGCACCCAGGCGTTGTCTACCTTCTCAGAAGCCGCTCATGTCCCCTCACACTCCCAAAGGAAAGTCCCTTATTGTTCATCCAAGTCCAGGTTCAGGAATTCAGAGGCCAGGGGGGTGGTGAGCAATGTGTGTGGCCAAGGAACTAGGTAGGCTGGAGGAGAGAAGTGACTGATTGAACCGTCTGGGCTCAGCGGCCCTGTGGTTCCTGTAGCTGGTCAGCCAGCACACAAGGCTGCTCTTTTGATCAGTGGAAGCCAGAAGTCAGAATTCTTCCTCAGAAATTCTAGTTATAGACGTATAACTTGTGTTAAAAATCTAGCATGTTAGTTGAGGGTCACATGCAAGAGGATGGAAAGGCAGCTGTGGTTTTCCTATATCTTCCACTGAGACATCTTGCCCAGCCACTGCAAGGAGGAACCTTAGGCAATTTCTGAGCATCTCGAAGCAGGGAGAGGCCTTCCCTTGCACAAGCCGGACCCCAGCCATGGATTAGTACGGCTCAGGCCAGACCAGGCTCCATAAAGCAGGGGCAGAAGGAAACAGCCTCTTCTTACCCTGGGGGGTCTGACTTTGAACAGGGGATCTTCTTGGGGTCCCTGACTCATTTGGGGTACCCCAGAGCCTCCTCTTGACTGGTGGGCATGCCTGGAGTGCTGCATTAGGGGCTGGAGGCCCCCAAGGTGAGACAGCCTTCTCTAGCTGCTCATGGGCCCTGCGGCTGGTGGATCTTCCTATGAATGACCAGCTGAAACTTCCAGTCAAAGCTGCACCCACAGTCCCGGCAGAAGTGGCGCCTCTGGCCTGCATGGCTCTTGCGGTGGATGACCAGCTGTGACTTCCAGCTGAAGCTGCGCCCGCACTCCACACACACATAGCCCCGAAGGCCAGTGGAGCACCGAATGGCTGGCTCCCGGGACATCTGGGGTGGCCTTTCCAGGCCTGGCCCACGCACGTGTGTGCGATGGTGGATGACGAAAACAGACTTCCAGTCGAAGCTGAGGCCGCACTGCTCACAAGTGTACAGCTTCCGAGGTGCCGGCCTAACAGGAGCTTCAAGCGGTGGTGTGGGAGACAAGCCTGAAGGGTCCTTGCAAGGGCTCCGGCTCTCGCTTGGAGAGGATGCGCAGGCTTGAACTAGCTCTGGACCTGCAATGGCTCCCACTTCTGGGAGATGGCTCCTGAGGGACTCCGGTCCTGCGTGTGGGATCTCCTGTTTTGGCCTCCGCTCAGACTCAACTTGTGTTTCTGGCTCTAGCAGCGGCAGGCTTGCTGGGGTGGGGAGAACGTTCATTTGGGGGCTCAGTGACATGGGTGCTTGCACAGAAGTGTGGGGGTGGCCACCTTCTGGTAGGAAAGAGATGCAGCCAGATGCTGGGCCGCTGCACCGGGAGCCCCAGTGGGGGGCTTAGCGCGCATGCAGGGAAGCACGTGGAGAATGGGGCAGGGAAGACAGGACAGGGAGAGGGCCATCAAACCTCACCCTGGGACACCATTGTGCCGTACTTCTCCAGCATCACGCCCCAGTACAGCTCTTTTTGTGATGAGTCCAACAGGGCCCACTCCTTCTGCAAGGATGCAACCAGTCACCGCCTCTCCCACCCAGCCTCACATCCTTATCCACCACCCAGTGGGTGTCAGGTTACCTAATTGTTATCTGCAACAGGCTAAGGACTAAATCAGAACCGGCATTTGTGAGTAGTGGATCAGCTTTCATCTGTAAGCTGTCTTCTCAGTGGCCTATCTCAGAGATGGCCAGAAGGACGAAATTGTGGCTGGGTGGGTTTTCGACAGAGATACTGTGGCTGTCCCCGTCCTTCTTCTGGTCACTAAACTGTGCACAGGATGTGCTGGAAAAGGCCAGGAGACTACCTGGAATTCAGCCACTTTCTGTCAAGACTGATAAAGAAAATGGAAACCTCCTTGGGGTAAGTAATTTTTTTTCTTTTGGCCTTCATTGGGGTCTGTATGCGTGAGATTGGGTCTATGTAGCCCAGGCTAGCCTCAAACTCATTGTGTAGCTGAGGATGACTTTAAACTTCTGATATTCCTGTCTCCACCTCCTGAGTTCTGGGATTACAGGTGAGTGGTACCACACCCAGTTTATGAAGTGCTGGGGATAGAACCTAGGACCTCGTGAATGCCAGGCAGGCATTCTACCAACTGAGTTACATTCCCAAAACCTTTATTTATTTAATTTTATTTTTTAGAAAGAGGATTAAGGAGCCAGGCATGGTGGGGCATACCTTTGATCCCAGTGCTCAGAGGCAGGGGCAGGCATATCTCTGTGAGTTCAAGGCCAGCCTGGTCTACATAGCTAGTTTCAGGACTGACAGAGCTGTGTAGAGAGATGCTGTCTCAAAACCAAACCAAACCAAACCAACCCCAAAAAGGTGGTGGTGGTGGTGGAAACACTAAGGTTGAGAATAATGAAGAATTTCAGGACTGTGAAGAATTTCAGGACTGTGAAGAGGAGAGGAGGCAACAGTGATGGAGAAAGGTCAGGGACTTTCTGCCAGCTGGTTCAGGCAAGGTCTGAAGAGGGTGAGTTTGGTGGCAGGACAGAGGCCGACCTATAACGGCCTTCCCAAGGACAGAATTACTTGCCTAAAAGATCTGCCTTTTTCTCTGTCCTAAAGTCTGTCATGTAGGTCTTTGGTAGGTTGGGAAAAATAACAGGATTTCTAGGCTACATCTAGAGGTGATGCTGGCCGGAAGCGAGGACACCAGAGAGGGATCCTAGAGGGGTTTCTTAACTTTGAAGCACCCCTTAACTAGACATTCTATTGAGGAAGGGAGCTCCCAAGTGGAGGGGCTCAGAAACAGGGAGAAGCTGGAGAGGACCAGATCCCTATCCCCTCCACATTAACTATACACGCTCAGGTAGCAGGGGCTTTTAACTAAGGTTCTAGGTCACTGTACTTTGAGAAGAGCAGTAGAGAGGACTTGAGGCACGTTCAGGGAGAGTGTCTTGATCTGCACTCAGGATTGCAGGGATCCTCTCCACCTGCACACATCACAGCTGGCCCATGGCCTCTGGGTATTGCAAACCTTTCCAGTAACTGACTTCTCTGGAGGTGAGGAAGCCATGCCCACCAGTTCTGGCCACTCTGGACCAGGCCTGAGACCTGAGGCCTAAATCGTTTCCAGTGAGAGACTACCAGTCTAGTCTTCAGCTCTCAGAACCTGCTGGGAGGGAAGGTATTTCCTACTCAGGAGTAGTAAGAAAAAACACATGAGTCACTGGCAGGGGATCCTACAAGACCACAGGGCAGAACACAACCACGAGAGACGCTCCCCCTCCTACACCCATGGCCTGCGTTTCCTGCTGGAGGCTGCTTACCTGGATCCTTCCTGGGTGGGAGGATGTGGAGGCTGGTTCCTGGTGTCCAAGATGTCCCTCTGGGGTCTGGGCTGGAAGGAGGGGACTTGGGGATACTGAGAAAGATAGGCAGATGGGAAGGAGTGTCAAGCTGTAATTACTGCATTGACCTTGGCCTGCCTCTGCCATGTGACTTGGTGGGAGGTCAGCCTTATCTTGTTGCATCACAGAAATCCAGCTTTCTAGTCTCTCTAGGGTCTTTAATCCAACTGGGGACATGTAGACCTATTTCAGGAGTCTCAGCCCTGGTACACTCTCTCCTAGGATACCCCACACCCCAACACACCCAGGGCTTTGAAATTCTGATGTTGCATCCCCTCACCCATCTCCTGTCCATCAGCACTGGCTTCCTCCTTCACATTGCAATCAATCTGGGTAGATCTGTCTATCCCAGCATCCTGTGGTGCCTCTGCTGGACCTGCCTTGGAGGACTCCATAGCTACTGCGACGTGGTGGCTCCCTGAAGACTCCTTTGTCTTTGCTTCTGTAAGAAGCATCTTTGGCTTCAGGATGTGGGCTGTGATCTGAAGAGAAGCATGTCACAGGGGCTCTACCTTCAGCCTGTCCCTCTAAGAAGCTAACGTCTTTACACTCACCCAGCCCAGCAGCTGCCCAGGATCGTGTTGCAGCCCTTCAACCAGGGCTGCAGCCTCCTCGGGGCTTCCCGGTCGCTGCCCTTGAACCCAGGCCTGGATCTCGGGGGGCAACACACCAAGGAACTGCTCCAAAACCAGCAACTCTACCATCTGCTCTTTGGAGCGTGACTCAGGCTGCAGCCATTGGTGACACAACTCTCGAAGCCGGGACAGCGCCTCTCGGGGCCCCTCTACCTCCTCATAGCAGAAACCCCGGAATCTGAGTCGCGCGGCCTCAGGCTCCTCAGTGGTGGTCTTGGAGTCCCCGAGGGAGAGGTGTGGGGGGCCCAGAGGAGATGGCATTCTTGTTTTGAAGGGTCTTTCTGGAGCTGACAAGAGGGATCTACAGAAAAGGAGGAATCAGAGTGTCATCTAAGGCCAAAGGCACCCACCAGACCCCTCCCAGAAGCCATGAAAGTGAACCCTGAGGCCACAAGCACTTCAAGTAAGGTCACGGGAGGTGCAAGCTCATAGAGGTTGAGACCTGGAGGATGCCTTAATGATAAATGCCTGGGTGGAAGGTGTCCAAGAACCTTCTAGGGAACTGCAAATGGCTGGTGCAAACACTGGGTGCAACAGAGGACTACTGGGAAATGAAGGTGGCTCCCCCAGCAGACAAAGGATCAGGAGGGGACAGGTAGGACCATTGTCCAGGGTCACCTGGAGCCCCGAGGCTTTCGGCAGAAGGCAGATTGGGTTGTGTTGTCTGAAGAGTTGGCTCTGGGATCCGAGTACATCGCCTGGGGCAGAGCTGAAAGCCCGGGTGTGCTCCCAGGGGCCTATATGAGTGTGGTGACAGTGCTCGCTGACCACAGCGTAGCTGCTGATGCACACACTGCTTCAGCAAGCAAAAGCCAAACCAAACAGCCCTGTGTTGTGTGGAGTCGTAAAATGGAACTTGCGTCCCAGTCCTTAGGTTCTGGATTGAAACTGGCTCTCCTGGGGCACCTGTCTTGTCAAGGAGAACCTTAGAGTTGGGGGTGTTGGTCTCTGACACAGGAAAGGGGAGGGTCTTTCAGGAGGAAGGGGCTCAGCGTTCTGGGTTCGAAGGCTTGGGGGCGCTCTTGGAGCTCGGCCAGCCCAGCCAGGAGTGAGCTCACCTCTGACGCCTCTGGGCGCCTCAGGAGCTCGGAGCACTTCCGGAAAGTGACACCGCGCGTCCCACCGCCACTCACAGAACGCCCCGCCTTGCGCGTTACCCTACCAGTCTGGCCAATCCTGCACCTGCCCCGCAGACACAGCCCCCTCCTCTCGGACTACGTCTCCCGTGAGCCTCAGCAAGGACGACAGCGCGTTTCCAGGGTCTCTCGCGCGCGAGGTGCTCCGTTCCTCTCCCGGAGCCCGGTGCCGCAGGGTTCCAGGGGTTCCCTCTTCTGACTTGGCAACCGTTCTCCCTTTGCACCCCAGCCGAAGGACTCACCCACTGCGGACCCGGACTGCGGGTTAGCGACCTAGCGCATGTGCACAGCGGACCTGGTTTCTATTGGGTGGCGAGGTGTCTTGACCAATTAGAGTTGACGCTCATTACAGAAGGTATCATCGTTCCATGTGTCTCCTAGGTAACAACTCGTGCGCAACCTACTCCCTTTTGCTGTTCCCAAAGCAACTCTTGTTAGCGTCGCCCTACCACCGAAGAGGACTAGGTGGCGGTTCCAGCCAATCCCAGTGGACGACAATGTTGGGCGAGGAAGACCCAATATGGCCTCTGTTAACACCCCGTTAAGCTCCCTTGGTATTGTGGGGGCAATAGGCCCATGGGTGGTCAAGCGTTCTGAGGAGGTAACCATGTGATTATTCCTTCATTAACAGTCTTTAGGTAACAGTACTGCAAATGAGGATGGAGGTTTCTGTTTGAGATTATGAGATGCACTCAACCTTTAATTTGGAGGCTGCAGTTAGACAAGGTGACCTATGTTTATTTTTTTCCAAAGCTTTTTGGGAAAAGGGCTTTATAAAAATAAAGTTAGTGACTTTATTTGTTTGTTTTGGAGGAACAAGGTAAAGGTTTAAAAAAAAAAAAAAAAAAAAAAAAGTTCCCGGCTGGAACTCACTCAGAAATCTGCCAGCCTCTGCCTCCCGACTGCTGAGATTTAAGTCGTGGACCACCACACGCAGCAGTTAATGGCTTTCAGATTTAGTTGCAGATGGCCTGGGTTTTGTTTCCACATACCCAGAGTATGAACAATGATATAATCATTCAATCCTAAACTGGATCTGTGTGTTCTGGTTTCTTCTGATTCCTGGGACACCCGCCCTCCCTCCACGCCCATCCCTCTCCCCCTTGGCTGCCAGCTGCTGGCGGAGAGCAGCAGTTCTCAACATCGGAAACTCCTGAGCAGTTATGTGGGTCGAGTTTGTCAACTCTTACCGGCTGAACTATCTTTTTTTTTTTTTTTTTGGTTTTTCGAGAC